GTGCCGACCCCTACCGAAGGACGGGCGAGCTCAGCCTCGGGTGCTGGAGCCCCGGGAGTGCCGTGTCCCGTTGCGGTGCCGTGTGGCTTTTTCCAGGTGCCTTCCCGTTTCTCCTCTGAAAAATGGGATTGCTGTCCCTCCCTGCTGTTGACAGCAGGAGGACAACTGCCCCGGCAGCCTGAGGTGCTCATCTCCATGTGGGGAAGCCTGGCCGAGGCTTGGTTGGGTGCACTTGACTGTGGAGGGGCTGAGGTGCGGGGGGGAGCATGTCCCACCACCCTCTGTTCTGCCAGGGTCAACACCAAAGTCCAGAGCAGCATCAGCAAGTAGCTTTTTCTGAAGTCATTAACTCTTCCTTCAGTGAGTCAGCCCAGTTAGGCTTTAAAATTAGGTCTTCTGCACATTTCTGGAGTGCCCTACTTCGGTTGACCAATGCTTGTTGCTCCTTGATGTTTCCAAAGAAGGAAGCATGACAGAAAGCTTGGGAAAGAAAATGACCTAGCCTCAGAAGACTAATTGGCTAGGTCAAGTTTACAAAAACATCCGCTTACATGGATGGTGTGGAGACAAAGGAATACTGAGGCGATAACCCCACCGGCTGCGTCCTGTCACTTTCCTGTTGCTGCTGAGAGGGATTCAAGGGCAAATAAGATAGTGGGTGAATGAACTAAGAGTTCCTGAGCTAGAAGTTACAAGCACTTTCTGTAAGCCTTCCTTGCGAGGAGCCTTTTCAGAATAAGCAGGGCTCCAGAGTATGCGTGGGCTCTATGGGATCGAATACTGTAAGTAGCACTGACAGAATTTGGATCTCTGTTGCTGGTACACCAATTTCAGCGAAAGCAGAGTAAGTCCCCACTGTGTTCACTTAAGAGGATATTAGAGTATGTGATTACCATCTATTATCGCTGAATTGAGCTGCATGAAGAGTGCTCCAGAAGGTACATGCAAGCTGCCGGCTTGAGCTCTCATCTGCAGCACTGCCTTCCACTCCAGTCTGTGACTGGAAAGTATTTTTTCTCTTTAAATTCCAAGTGTTCAGAACATAATTAAATGCCAGCTTCCAGACTCTGCAAACTTTCCTAGAGTGTCTGCCTTTTACGGAGTAGTCGGCAATGTGTTGACGCCAGTGTTGTTTCTGGTTTTCCTGTCCGGTAATGTGTACACACGTCACTGGAGAGTAATGCTGTTGTTCACACAGCCAAGTGGCTGAGCTGAGTTTAATGCCTCTGATCCTTCAGTTCATATCAACGGCTACCTGCATCTTGAACTTGAAGGCAGCAGTTCTCGCAGTTCTGTGACCCTAAGCTTTGCAAAAATGAAACAGCCCAGCAAACTGACCTCAGGCTGTACTTCTCTGCTAAAGCTGATGTTCACTTACTTCTTCTCTCCATTAAATCTTAGTATGCAGCTGTCTTAGCTCTACCTGTGAATGTATCGGCACAGCAGGAACATTACTACAGGCAATTGGGAAGGAAGACCCCAGGGCAGTGCAGTGAGATTTGGGGTGGTGAAGAGCAATGATGAGCTGGACTGTGAAACAGCTTTTCCCATCTGTCAGTAGATACGTTACTGAATCTTGAGTTCATGTGGCATTTAGTTTCTGCACCACAAGCCCCCGGAGCAGGCAGTGGTGTTGCCTGGTTGTCAGCTTTAAAACCAAATGAAGGAATGCAGTCTCCTTGGCCTTCAGGGAAAGTCACTCTGATTAAGACTGAAGTTTTCAGTAGGAGCAACAGAAATATAAGCCCTCAGCGACAATCTGCATGTTCTTATTTTCAAGACTAAAAGCAGTAGGAGAGAATTTTGGGTGTCTGCAGTTTGTCCTGGAGTTGCTGATTCTCAGAGAGAGACTGCTCTGAGAGATCCTGAGCTGTATCCGTCTGTGTGAGGACTGACCTCTCAGGTAACGCTGCTTACAGGTAGAGTGGTGAGAGGGTTTTGGATGTTTCCACTTCACTTCTTTCTAATGCTGCTGTACCACCCTCAAATGTTAACTGCCACCTGTATCATTTTCTCTATTTTCTAGTATTCATTAAGAAAGAAAATGCAGACAAGTTCTTGGAAAGAACAAGACGTGCTAACTCTTTTTTGGAGGAAATGAAGCAAGGGAATATTGAAAGAGAATGCAATGAGGAGCGCTGCTCGAAAGAGGAAGCAAGAGAAGCCTTTGAAGACCAGGAGAAAACTGTAAGGATGAACTAATATGAGTTCATGAGGTTTATACATTTTGTGTTTACAAAATAGTATTAAGGTTTTTTGAGCTGGTCATCAGAACTTACAAGTTGTTCTTCATCATTTAACACAAAGAGTAAATAGTGGTTTTGACTGTAATTGAAATTGCTAAGGCATAAACATACAATTAGTATGTTTATGTTAGCTAGTCTTAATTTAGCTTTTGGAAGGCCAGCCCATGTTAAAGCCTCAATTCTTTTACCTGTTCTGATCTGTTTAATTGCCATTGTGGGGTATTTGACCTTTAAATGATTTGACACTAGCTGTGTTAGAAATATGTTCACCCTATCTGGGTGGCATAGCTGAGTGTCATAACTATGTTCAAGAGTTCTTAGGTGGAGAGTCCACAGGAAGGCTGAGAAGGCAAATGCTGACATGGAACTTCATGGGACAATTTTGCTGAACTTCTCTCATGAAGCTTTGTGGTACTTATCATTTTGTGGTGCTCTGTCCAGTATTTGAATTGACAGAATGTATACTGTGGACAGTTCTTAAATGCCTTAACGTTAAATTGCCCACACAGAATGAGGTTTGTATGTGTCGCTCTTGTGTCACCTGCCCTACCCTGATGTCTGCTTAACTTCAGACACAAGTGTGATCTGTTCCCAAGCCCAAGGGAGAGTTAAAGAGATGGGGCAGCTATGGGGACTGGGGTCAGTAGGTAATGTTTGAAGTGACTTGATGGTGAATTGGGAGCACCAGCTGTAGCTTTGTGGCTCTTTAGAACAGCTCTGAAACTGGAGTTAAGGCCAGATTCATTTCACTTTAACGTTACTTGCTGGACAGAATGTTCTTGGAGTGGCCATCAGGTGAGGAGTCATGGGTGCATCACCAGGATGCTTCAGAGCATAAAGGTTAGCTGATCTGTAGCAGAACCAGCACAGCCTGTTCTGCCTGGTGACCAGATGTCACTGAAAATGGCCGTCCTGGACAGGCAGCTTACTTGGAGTCCTCAGTGCAGAGGGAAAGAAGAACACAAATCAGACAAAGTATTTTCAAATATGAGGCCCTGATTGATGGGATTTAGTCAAATTTAGTCAAAGCTGATGGAAAGGTACAGTTATGCAAGCAATCGAGTGCCTTATGCCGAGTGAGTCACACTGGGAAATCTCTAAGGAGTTTTTGATATTTCTGAAAAATGCATGAGACTTGTTTCTGTAGAGCCGGGCACTATAGATGGATCATATGGTTTTCATTTATTAAGTCGTAATTGCAGGCCACAGGGCATTGTAAATTAAATATTTGTTTTAACAATTGTTAGCTGCAAGTATCCTCTGTATGAAAGCTCTCATATTTTTCTGAGGAGTTTGGTAATTCTCATCTAACTCTTTCTGTGTCCTTTTATTCCCCTTTTTCCACACCTACCTGTAGGAGGAATTCTGGAACATCTACGTAGGTAAGAAACACTCCGCATTTGTTTAGAGAATTAAGCTTCCTTATCACGAGGTTAAAAAGGATGCACCTCTTGGGTAACCACTTCCTGCTCCCTTGCTTCCTCTCTATTCACTGTGGGACACCCTCAGCTTGTGCTTCCTCTGAAGAAGGAATCTGATTTACTGCTTTGCTGTTGCTTGAACCCAGTTACTTCATTCATAGGCAAGGTTCAGCTGCCTCCAATTGCTGGGAGGATCTTTGTCCTCTCAAAAGGAAGAATAACGCAAAAGACAGTGAGAAACAGAAACCAGGTGTGTGACTCTGCCAGTCAGTTGCCCTCCAGAGGGGCAGTCCTTGATGGGGGAATTCGAGATGCAAAGAGTCACAGATGGGGGTGGCGCTTAAATGGCGTAGCCAACACAAAGTTATTAAACTGTATCGCACAGTCACTTGCCAGTTTTCTGTCACTGTCCATGTTGTTGATTCCTGTATTATAGAGCATTTTGTGGGATGTGTTTTCTACATAACTGTTTGGTATTCAAGGAAGACGTGCCAGTAAAATGGCAAATACTACCCATCAGTCTTTTCTGTTTTGTTTTTTTTTTCTAAAGGTCTGAGTTGTATTTATTAGTGTTGTAGTGTTTGGAATCACTATGCAGGGACAGATTTTTAATATATTAGCGTTTGGTAACATGTTCTCCTGAATGCATGTGTTCAGCTTGCGTGTGAGGAGGAATACCTCAAAAATGTTGACCAAAGACTTTGTCTTGTGAAGTCTGCAGAAAACTGAAGACAGTTGCCATGAAGAAGATGCGGACTTTCACAATCTTCTAAGCAGGGGATGAATTCTGCAACCTGCAGGCTGAAATTTCAAGTAAAGCCTGCGTCAGTGTTGCAGTGAACAGAAGTGGAAAATTTCAAACCATTTTCTCATGAGAATACCAGCAGCAGAACATCAGTGCCAGTGCTCTTAGAGGAAATGCCAATTTCATACATTTTAAACAGCAGTCCACAAATGCTTTATTGGTGTTCAGAAGTACTGAAAACCACAGCTACTCTCAGCCAAGTTACTAGAACAATTCATTCTCGCTTCCTTTTTCTGTAGGGGATTCTGCAATGCTTTTGTGCAATATTGATATAAAACTCAGTACCACAGTGGCAACTACAGCATAGGAAAAAACTAAACAAGTACAATTTCCAACAGGAGGATGCTGCTTAGCTAAGACCACTACAGAATGGAGTGCTCTGGCACTGCAGAGGAGACAGAAACCAGGAGCTGTGCTGCAGGCCTCGAGTCTTGTCTTCCTGCTGGTAAATGGTGGTCTCACCTTCCCTCTGTTGAGGATGGACATCAGTCTTCAACAGCTCTGTGGTGGACCACACATATGCAGCATTTGGGGCGCTGTAGTTTTGGCCATGTGCAGGTACAGAAGGGATGTTGAGGTGTGGGGACAGTACACAAAGCTCAGCAGATGTTCCTTGTGGCAGATAAAGCTGAAGCAGGTGAGGTCACAGGTCAGAGCCACTGTGTAGGTGGCAAGCTGGATTCTTAGGATGAGCAGCTTCTTCCATCTTGTCTCCTCTGTGGGCATTGCCATTCTTTCAGCTGCTCCAAACATAGGCAGAACAGGTGGTAAAACACAGAAATTTGAAGAGGGTGTTATCTAAAAAAATGAATTATTAAGCAAGTGTCCCTTCTCCTGATATCCTGCTTTTCTTATCAGCAGGAAGAGCCCAGCAAAGTCATGTGATGGGGGAACACATTTGTTGCTGGATGGGAGAGACCATGGCAGCGAGCATCAGTGCAGGAGTGAGATACCTTTGTGGGGCTGGCAGAAAGGGCTGCTACGTGGAACGTGCCTCCAAACGCAGCCTCCCTGTCCTATGCGTAGCTGAGTTTGTGAGGTTTATGTGGCTGGGGCCCTGGAGCCAGGTCAGCCAGTTGTGTTCAGGTCACCGAAAGGAAGAAAGGCTGCAGAACTACCTCTAAAATGTGAGAGATCCCAGCATAGATGTGGGGAACATAAGATAAGAGCTCATATTTTGAAGCTTCAGCTCATACCTCAATGGATAGAGTAGGACAATTCTGGTACTGTAAGCAGCACAAAACAGGAATTTGGCCTGCACACATGAAGTTAGCAGGGCTTTATAAAGCATTTTGTTTAGGTCTATTTGTCTTCTGATTAATATGCTGGTGTCTCTTTAAATGAACAGCATTGCAGTCAAAAGGCCTGCACAAGGGACAAGATGACCTTTAAAAAAATAAAAGTTGAGTTGTCATTGGAAATTGTAGAGAAATGCAAGAGGCCAAAAGGTACTTGCAACATAGAAATGTCCTGTCTGCTTTTACAGGTATACTCTGACCGTGATGTACTACTTTACCTTCCTACAAAAAAAAAAGCCTTGCATAGGCACTGTCATACAGTAGTCACCAAAAACAGATTGCAAAACGGAGGCTATGTACATGAATCATTGCTGGTCTGGAACGATTGCATTTATACTCTTTGTTCCATCTGGAATGTGGCAACTCACAGGAAATATGTTTTAAAAGGAAAGATTAAAGAGTGCTTATTAAAACTAACACCCCTTCAGTGTTCATTGAAAATGCCTATGCTCTTACTGTAATTGGGTTTTTTTGGTTTGTTTTTGTAGATGGGAACCAGTGCAGCTCAAATCCTTGTCAATATGGTGGACATTGTAAAGATGGAATTGGTTCCTACACTTGCTCGTGCTTGGATGGTTACCAAGGCAAGAACTGTGAATTTGGTACGTTTCTGCTTTAGAGAACTGTGGTGGTGAATTTCCCAGGCAGCTGAAACATAAAAAGTTTAATCTTTCTTAATGAGCATTATTTGCCTCTTGGAAAAATGCACAGAATAGGATGGCAGTCAACTATGAGTTGGAGGACAGTGCCAGAAACACAAAGCCCTAGTGGCTCTGCAGCTGGGTAGTGTTAGACTCATAGACTCATAGAACAGTTTGAGTTGGAAGGGACCTTTAAAGGTCATCTAATCCAACCCCCACTGCAATGAGCTGGGACTTCCAGCTGGATTCATCTTCAACTGGATCAGGTTGCTCAGAGCCCCATCCAATCATGAATTCTCTGGAGTTACACCTACTCCAAAGAAAGCCCTCTTAATGATGATAGGGCCTCTTTACATGAGCTTGAATCCCCAAAACATGATGATAGAACTAAGAAGCATAGGATTCTTATGACTCATATCAAAGAACTTTTACTCCAAGCTCAGAAGTGCAGCCTTCCTGTTCAGCTCCCAGCAGTGAAGAACCAAAGAAAGCAGACAATGCAGAGACCTTTTCAGGCTTGCAAATAATGATTTTTTGTATATAAATCCTTCCTGAATCTTGCTTCTGTGGAACACTGTGACATGGCCACTGGGCTCACTTGGACTTGGCAAGTGTGTTTCATGCAGTGGATGTTACTGCTTTGTAAGGCAGCAGCTAATGTTAGCCACTCATGTTGTTGCTAAGGTGTGCCTCAGGTGTTTTACAGGGGGACATAGAATTCCTGTTTAACGATTACAGTATAATTTAGTGAACTTCAAGATCTTCTGTGAACTCACTTTATTTACGGTTTTTCTCCAAACTTGCCTTTTTTATAGTTATACCGAAGTACTGCAAAATAAACAATGGTGACTGTGAGCACTTCTGCAGCATCAAAAAAAGTGTACAGAAGGATGTCTTGTGTTCCTGTGCAAAAGGGTATGTTCTAGCAGAGGATGGCAAACACTGTGTTTCATCAGGTATGAAGCCACGTAAAATACGAAGAGCAATGGTGAGACTTCTTTCACAGTTAAAGAATGTCTGATATTTAAATTCCTCTTCACAGTAAAGTACCCTTGTGGAAAAGTTTTTGTGAGAAGAAAAAGAAGGTCGGTTATTTTACCCACTGCTATTAGCAATGTAACTAGTGATGAAGATGGCCCTGACACAAATGGAACAAGTTTGGAGGAGGACATCACTGTACTTACCACAGAAAGCCCAACCCCCAGTCCTGGCAATGACACGAGCAGCAAGAATCCAAATGTCCATACCAGGATAGTAGGTGGTGATGAGTGTCTTCTTGGTGAATGTCCGTGGCAGGTAAACCTGATGTTTGTGCTTTGCATGTAAGCAAAATGTGTTTCTGAGGGAAAGCATGGAGTTGTTGATTAAAACTGGTTGCCTTCTGAATGTTGCCCATGTAGTATGCCATTGGAGGTAGCTAGTTCGACCAGCCAAAATTATTTCCTGTATTTGGGACACTAAAGTTGGAGTCGGACATCAAATGGAAACAAGAATTCTTTGGGATGGTAAGTCACAGGGATAGGGTGATTTGGGGGCTGCACTCGCCCTGCTCAGTCTGTCAACATCTTGCTCCTAAAAGACATTGCTGAGCACTGTGAATGATGACATATGGAAGCCAAGCATCTGCTTCCGTAAATAAAATGAGACTCTGTAGCAGTAGGTGCTGATCTGTAGCATGCAGAGAAATCAATTACCTGTTTACAGCGCT